AACTAGGAATGAGAAATCAATGAGGTGAGTTGCATTTAACAAGCATGAACTACAGAGACCATTATTTTTCTCCATCGTGAATTTCTAAGCTCCATTCTTTACTGTGTCTTGTAGTTTCCATATTAATAAAATTTTTGTTCCTACCACCCTGTCCACTGTGTGGCAATTTGATAGGACTGTAGTGTCAATAACCTTCCTTTTAGGGACAGAGAAGTTACACCATGGAAACCGAACCATGTGGTAGATAAGAAACATTGTGGAAGGACCATCTCCAAAATATCCAAATGAGAAGACAGATCTAGCACGATGGTAATGGTAAAAGGTACAAAGAAGTAGATCGAAGTTTGCTGTGGGCTTTGAGTAAAAATGTTGATGTGCTCCGTATTTGGAGCTATGAATGCATGCCATAAAGAGATTATTATTTTTTCAGTCTCAGTGAGGTGTGACTGCTTTGCAAACAGGCCATTCAATTTGCATCATAGGCAAGGGCAGTGTATTGTGGTGGTAATCTATTCAAAGCTGGTTTTCTCCTCCTGTATAGAAGCAAAGCTGCCTTCTCTATGTGCTGCCAAAATAGCATTTCATGAAATTAATAGAGCTGCAGACTCAAGTAACTACAATTGTAGTTTAATGCTGATCTTGCTGCATTTTCAAGTTTGGGTAGTGACATATCATACTGTGCAAGGCTTTCTGTTAGCAGTTGTTTGAACTGTGAATTGTTCAGAAGACACTCCAGTACGATGCAGTGTTATAGTACTGAAGAACATAATTCTCATGGAATAGGTATCTAATGCACATGTGATTTGCATTAATATCTTGTGAGTACTGAGAGTTGACAGCATCAGATTCATGTTGTCATTAGTTAGAGGACTGCTGTGTGGGATATTGTACAAGTGATCATCAGTGTGTGCTATAAAAGGCAACTGGAATTTTCTGCATGCTCATAGTGACCACACAAGCATTTTTTTGCCGTGCTTGACATGCTGCATCATGACACAGTAACACAAAAAAGGAAGGTTAATTGCACAACTATATGAAAAATGGAACAAATGGTTCCATAACTAAGACCTAATTAGTTTTGTTGTTTCACATGAAACCCATTTACCAAACCATACTCCTATCACTATGATTTGTGTTCCAGATCCTGTCAGCATTTACAAAAAACCTGCCTTTTTAATATTATCTGCCAGGAAAAAAACAAGTGTAGGGTTCATGCCACTTTTATTGTCCCTATTGAAACCATTCTGACCAGCAGATCTAAAGTTAATATTCTGCTTGAGTAGAAATGGGATCTGTATAAAATTGGAATTTGCTCTAAGGCACATAGCACTTTTTTCAGTCATATAAAATATGCAGATTCCAACTGTAAAACATGACATTGTTAGGTGTGGAAAAGGTCTATATATTTTTGATGCACAAAAATGTTTTCATGACATTTTTCCCCCACTCAGAAAATGTTTGTATGTTGAATCTGTTATTTTTCATGAGAATATATTGATATTTTAATGATAATTTTATTGTAAAGGCTTTTTGAAGGCAAGATGGAATGGGTAATCAACATTAAAAAGAAAAGACTCAATCACAGAATAACTAAATAATGTTGACTGTGGTATCAGATTAGATCTTGATTCTTCTATATGGCTGGACTAGGAAGAGGTGTAGTATTACCATTTTTAAAGGCAATTTTAAGGGCCTAATTCTCATGCTCTTGTAAAGCAAGAAGCAAAATATCAAAATCTCGATTCAAATGACATGGCAAAGAAGACTTGTTTTCTGGCGAGCTGTAGCTGTTAGCTGGCAATGTTTCTGACTGCTTCTGAATCTTTAGCATGAGAGCAGATCCTCAGCTGATGTAAACTGGCATAGCTTCATGACCTATGATAATCAAATCTAATAATCCTAGAGAGTAGTGGAGTGGCAGCCTTAATGAAATGCTTTAACAGTTGATTTGGAGGATGGATATAAACAGACCAAAGAATGTGTCTAAGTTGAGTCAATACAGTGATGACATAGATGTGGGCTCCTTTGCAAATGCTTAGGCTGCCTTTCTCAGGCCCACTGCTCCCACCTGACCACTTTAGATTATGGCTTTGCAAAGGGTGTTTAATATCCTCTTCTGAGTAGATTTCCCTCTTCTGCCTTAAGGGGACAGAACTTTTGAGGGTTCAGTTTTTTAATTTTTTCTTTCTTAAATTTGAATCCCTAATTTGAGTTCTCATCCCTGCCTGCTGAGTGGCTGTGGCCTTCAAGAAAAAACACCTGTATTTCAATTTTCAAGTGGGATTTTGGCTCAGCTGCTCTTTTCCTGTGGTCAGTGCTTTTTCAAATCAGATGTTTGTCTGGGTGGTGAAGGTAAAGGTACTTCCTTGAGGGCCTATGATGTAACTACCCTGAAAGAAGAGTCACCCAGCTCTGGAAGGGCTGAAGGCTTCTCAGTTCGTCTCTCTCCATTGACACACCTCTGTTGTGTGTAACAGTACTTGACCCAGAGCTTTACAAATGAATTTTCTGCTTGCTGCATAGTTTTGTTAGTCACCTTAAATGAGTGACCCATGATGGTGACTGGGAGGCTGATATTGACAAAGTGACCAAAAATGGAAAGCGTGTTTAGAAGAGAGGGATGAAGAAGAAACTAAAGGGCCTTTGTGACTTAGCAGTGACAACTCCAGCAGAGCACAGAGCTGCACTACTTAGGGCATCGTACATTCCTCAGCTAGACTAATGACCGATGAGGATGGGAAGGAGCAATTGCTATGGCTTGTAAATGTGAGATTTAGATCATTTGTGGGGATGATAAGCCATGTCTGCGGAAATCTTCATCAGCTATGAAAATATCTCAAAGTGATAAAAAGTAAAGCTACAGCTAAAAAGGGCTGGAACGTTAATTAATTTTGGGTACTTTGTATCCTTAGAATTGAACTTCAGTTATTCAAAACCTGTGTTGAATATTTAAGTACTAGCATATTTGCATACTGTTGTTTTCCTGGACCTGAAATCTTTGTGCTGGAAAGTTCCTGTGCAGATCTTACGGTGTCATCTGCAGTAGAAGGTCCATCTGCAGAAGATTCTTTTATGGGATTGGTGAAGAAAGCTTTTGGTCCTTTATGCTTCCTTTGTTACCATTTTCCACAGAAACCAGAAGTGAATAGTACCTTTTAGGACATTAAATTTATCCCTTGTCCACTGCAGAATTGTTCCTAACAGCTCTGAGTTTGAAAACTAAGATTTTTTTGTGGCACTTCACTAATCTCTGTAAGATACAAGTTCAGTAACACAGACCAGACAAACTTATCTGCATGCAGATTAATGGCAAGAGAGCATCTGCATGGATTTTCACACCTCTTCTGTGTAGGAAAGAAGGGATAGGTAAAGTTCTTTGGATTGTTAGGATTTTTCATAGTGTTGATGTCTCACCCTTTTGGGTACTAATTTGCAAGAAGCTGACAGAAAACAAGCACAGCTGATAGCCATTTCCTATTGCACAGATAATTGTAGCCTGCATTAGTAAGGGCTTGGCCGTGCAGCTCTTGCAGCTTCATTGGAGTGAACTGGAGTGAAATTGAAACTAGTCGAATGTCTGTATGTTATTACTGGCATGTGAGTGATTGACTGTGGGTCTTCCTCCTCTGTATACTAAAATAAAGCTATAGATGAGTTAACACAGTGGTTGAAACCAAGATGAAAAAAGTGCAATTTTTCTTTTGTTTCTCCTTGTTTATTGCAAGAGTCACTTCACTGAAATCAGTAGTTATACTTAGTTAGAACAGTCTAAAGATGATTCAGAGGCACCTATGACAGTTTGCAAAATTAAATGGTATTCAGCACAAAGAACTAAAAATGGATAGAAAACAGAATGTCATATGTCTGATGAATTTCTTACGACAAGTACCAGCCCAGTGAAAGACTAGTACATTTACTGGATCGTATGCACCTGATTTAGTTGTGGAATTACACCACCAAAAGAGTTTGTGACTGACAATGCAATTGCTAAAATCCATTTTGAATGGTGCTGCACAGCAGTTACAGTTCAAAACTGTTACTGTCATTTTTACTAACAGGAAGGGGAAACTCACTTCATTGTGTTCCACTTAATCAGGGAAATGAAATGGTAGCACAAAATTGTTTTCCAATTAGATTTCAAACTAAGTATTTTACAAAAAAAAAAAAAAAGAGTGTTTGCTGAAGACATGACACCAAAGTTCCCATTCATTCTTTCGAATAAATCTATCAACGTAACTCATGTGAACCTCAAGCTCTTGCATGGTGCGAATGCAGGGTTTTTTTTGTATCTATCTATCTATCTATCTATCTATCTATCTATCTATCTATCTATCTATCTATCACTTTTATTTATAAACTTGATTTTTATGGTGAAGGTGTGGTTGTGGCTTGAGTCAGTGCGTTTCTGAGAGTTCTCAGGCATGGGTACCTATTGTCTTCTGCATGGCTAGAGTCAGGCCTTGGGAGCTTCTTCTTGTTCTGTGCTTAGGCGTGATTGTTACCCTTGATGTTGCATTGATACGCACTGGTTAAAGCAACTGGGGCTGTTTTTCATCTCTGATGAGAAATCTTTTAACGCCTTGATTCCTTCCTCGGTTCATTCTATCAAGTCACCTCCTTTTTGATCAGCACACATGACCATGGATACTGCTGTCTACTAAATACAAATCTATCATTGCTGATTAATGGCTTGATAAGCTCCAAGATACAGACAATCACTCGACAGAGAAGTAGAGGTGTGATCTTGCAAAGACATAATAGTATGTACTCCTGACGCTAGCAGAAGATTGGATCTCTGAGACTTAAACAGCTATATATTATTTTCTGATTGTTTAACTTAAGTTAAAGTGTGTTTGAGGTAAGTTTTTCAGAAAGAATAATAATATGTCTGAATGTTCTGCCAACTTACAGAAAAAAACCCAACATGTTTCCTCAGGAAAACATGGTGGCTAGATTTTTTGCTTATTGCTGAATCTGTTGTTCTTTTTTTAACTGCAGAAAGTGAGTGAAAAAGTAGGAGGTGCTGAAGGAACCAAGCTAGATGATGACTTCAAGGAAATGGAAAGGGTAAGTCTAGACACAGATGTGTGTATTCATTATTAACATTTATTTTTCCTTTCTAGGACAGGAATTTCAAAGCTTTTGCCCCTGAATCACTCAAATAATTTTGAAAGGCTTAACTTTTATTTAGAAGGGCTGAGCTTTCTGTTTCTTCTTTTTTTTTTTAATTTTCTAACCAAGGCATACATAATATATGACACTGTTTATAATGCCAATATTTTGTTCAGAGATTGAGGCTAATGTCAGCTACAGATTAGTTTCAGTTAACCATTGTAGCGGATTTCTGAAAAGAATCATAGATACCAGGTTGGAAGAGACCTCAAGGATCATCTGGGCCAACCTTTCTTGGCAAATGCACCATCTAGACAAGATGGCCCAGCACCCTGTCCATCCAAATTTTAAGTTTCCAAAGTTGGGGAATCCACCAGTTCCCTGGAGATATTATTCAATCGCCGATTGTTCTCACTGTGAAAATTTTTCCTCTTATGTCCAGTCGGAATCTCCCCAGGAGTAACTTGTACCCATTACCCCTTGTCTTTTCCATGTAACTCCTTGTGAAAAGGGAGTCTCCATCTTATTTGTAGCCACTCTTTAAACACTGGAACATGGTGAGAAGGTCTCCCCTAAGCTTTCTTTTCTCAAGGCTGAACAAACCCACATCCCTTAGCCTTTCCTCATACGGCAGGCTTCCCAATCCTTTGATCGTCTTTGTGGCCCTTCTCTGGACCCTCTCCAGCCTGTTCCCATCTTTTTCTCATAGCTAGGACCAAAACTGAACACAATATTCCAGGTGTGACCTGACAAGCGCTAAGTAGAGTGGGATGATGACTGCTTTATCTCTGCTGGTGATGTCCTTGTTGATGCAACCCAGCATCTTGGCTTTCTTTGCCACAGCAGCACACCATTCACTCATAATGAGCTTGTTGCCCGCCAAGACCCCCAGGTCCCTTTTCCACAGAGCTGCGTCCCAGATTATGTTTTCCAAGATGCAGGACCTTACACTTGTCCTTGTTAAACTTCATAAGATTCTTGTTAGCCCACTCTTCCAGCCTACTCGGGTCTTCCTGCAGGGTGGCTCTTCCTTCCGAAGTGTCCACTTCCCGACTCAGCTTGGTATCATCGGCAAACTTCATATTGATCCCATTATCCAAATCACTGATGATGATACTGAATAACATTGGGCCCAATATGGATCACTGGGGGACCCCACCTATGACAGGTCACCAGTTTGAACAGGAGCTATTTACTGCCACCCTCTGGGTGCAGCCGGTCAGCCGGTTCCCCACCCACTGCACAGACCACTTGTCTAGACCATAATGCATCAGCTTCTGTAGGAGGAGGCTGTTGGAAATTGTATCGAAAGCCTTGGAGAAATCTAGGAGGTAGACAATGTCCACCACTTGCTCACCATCAGCCGAGCAGTTTACTTTGTCACAGAAGGGAATCAGGTTTGTCAAGCATGATTTGTCCTTGGTGAATCTGTGCTGGCTTTTCCCAATCATGTGCTTCATTTGACGTGTGATAGCCCTCAGAAGGATTTGTTCCATAACTTTCCCAGGGACTGAAGTAAGACTGATGCGCCTCTAATTTCCTGGATCCTTTTTTAAGCTCTTTTTGTAGATGTGGATGACATTAGCCTTCTTCCAGTCTTCTGAGACATCTCCCGATCTCTACAACTTCTCAAAGGTTATGGAGAGCACACTCACAATGACATCAGCCAGCTCTCTTAATGCCCTTGGGTGGATATTGTCAGGGCCCACTGATTTGTGGGAGTCGAGCTCCTGTAACAGTTCACGTACTGACTCTTCTTTCATTGATGGTGGATCTGTGTTTGCATCAACCTGGGTTTTTGTTCTCACTGTTGGGGCCCGACAGTGCTGGTAAAGGCAGAGGTGAAGAAAGTGTTGAGAGCCTCTGCCTTTCAGTGTTGTTGGAGGCTAATTCACCTCTCTTGTTTAACAGGAAGCCAGTATTTTCCTTCTGTTTTTTCTTGTTGTTTATGTACCTGAAGAACCCTTTCTTGTAGTTTTTGACATCTCTGGCCAATTCCAGTTCAAGCCGAGCTTTTTCTTTTCTGACTGCATCTGTGCATCTCTGCGTGCCCTGGCAATGCCCTTGTAGTTCTCAACGAGTATTCATCCACTTTTCCATCTCTGGTACACTTCTCATTTGGTTTTGAGCAGACTCAGAAGCTTGCAGTTAAGCCAAGGAGGTGTCTTGCTGTACCGACTTCCCTCACCTTTAAAGGGGATGAACTGTTTTTGTGCTTCCAGGAGAGCGTTCTTGAAAAACTGCCAGCACTCACTAGCTCCTTTATCCTCCATGGAAGCTTTCTGCAGAATCCCTCCCAGCTGAGTTCTGAGCGAGCAGAAGTTTGCTATTTTGAAATCTAAAACCTTTGTCTTAGTACTGAC